CGGAACCCACGGAGACGCCCAAACAAGCGGCCGCCTTACTGATCGAGGTAGTTGGATTTGAAGCGACAAATTGGTGAAGCGAATCCACGTGACAGGCGTCTGTTGCTGTGCGTTTCGCTCCTGGGGGCTTCCTTGGTTTGACGCTGCCGGTTTTGAGCATCCGACGAACAACCGCATGGCAAAGCTGAAATCGTGGCGTCGGACGTTCCGGGTGACGGCGGCTGAACTCGGAACACGCGGCGCGCAAGCTCCTTCCTTGTGTCCTCAGCACGAACAGCTCCGTCAACTCCTGCGTGGACCATGCCATGATTAATGGCGTTGCACTGCGTAACGGTTCAAAATAAACTGGCGGCTTCATGCTCAACCAATGGGTCATCAGTCAATAAGGCGACCGCGACAATGACCAATCGTAGGGAACCATCGTCCCCTTTATTGAGGTGAAATCCACTATGTGCCCCCGTGTTTCCATCCTTTCATTGGCTTCAGCCAACAGGCGGATACGGCGTCAAGTAGACAAGGTGACAGTTAGTTGAAAAACACGATGGATCACATCGTGTGAGTGCGTGTCTGTATGCGCTCAGATTATGAGCAGAAACCGCTACAAGTACCCCGACATGTAGAATGCCTGCGACTTAGCACAGGATGAGTGGCTCATAGTTCATAAACCATGTAATTAATCAGATCAGGGCCGCAAATTCGGCTGCCGTGGAGCTCCGACAAATAACCGTAAAGTTCAGACGTAAATAGAGGAAATGGAGAAGGATAATGCAAGACTGTCGTTGGAATTTCACCGAGTGATAGCCGTGAACGACCAACGGATTATTAGAAATTCCGTGGATTTTTGCTTTTCATCATATGCAAATTGGTACAGTTCAGCATATAATTATGCACTTCCGCACAAATGTGATTGCATTATAGGTTAAGATTTAAATGTATTGTTCAATAGTGCAGCCGCTGTGGTATTATACCGTGGAGTGCGGAACAATTTGTGACAGTTTTTCACATTACACGGCAAAGGTGCCATTTTGAGAAGTCGGCTGATTATCGCGTAGTCGAAGGCCGCTGTTGCCCCTTGAGCGCATTGAGCGGGATATCGTGCATTTCACTCAAATAAGACCAAATCCGTTTATGTAACTAATGAGCAACTGTTCGGCGTTTTATGCCACTGTTTATCTTCGTATCGAAAGAACACGCCACCCACCTGACAGAGGCGTACATCGCGGAGCCTGCAAGTGCAGAGTACGACGACTCATCGTAGTTTTCGAAGGTGTGTGGTTGCGATGCATCCCAAAGAGCTATCATCAACGTCGCCAGGAAATCCCTGTAACCTACAACCTCCGCTGTGGAATGCGAACAGCGATGATGCAGTAAAGTCGATCCCGACAAGCGGTGTGGTCACCGCCTTCGAGGGTTGAGGTGCAATTGCACTGCAAAAGGGTATACGCATATACCCACTAACATTTATTTACGGCCGAAATACCCCCGCCCTGTCAAAAGCGTTTGAAATAGGTTTGCAACTTCAACCTATACGTGCCTATCAGTTGGGTTCACTGAATATTGTGCAAGCTCTGTATGTAGCTGTTTCTCGTGTCACCGATCTAATTTTCGCTGTGCACTTACAACGATACGTAATTTCACGACGACACTTTCTATTGCACTGCTCCCCTCCACGTGATTCCACGATGCTGAGGATAATGTTCTCACAAGGTATCGAAACGACAGGACTTCCTCTTTACGGATAAACCGCTTGGCCTATTCCTTGATAAGCAGTCCGCCGTGGTTAAAGTTACGGTATTCATGAATATACCCGGTGTTGTTGGCAACACTCCTCCCGTGACAAAAACTAGTCCATTCAGCTTGTGTTATTCACATAGGCGCAGGGTAGGATACCAGTAACGCATTGTGCAACTGACGTAGAACGCGGTAAGTGACGGTCGTCGGATTGTGCACATGCTGGACTACTACGAGCACGACGAGAACATCGCCTCCAGCACATACGTATGGCATGTTACGGTCCATTTCGTAGCAGTCCTAAACGATTACGTTTGTTCCATCCTTTACAAAAGTGTCGCTCCTACACGGAGGTTCAACAGCTGGTGATGATATCACATCAACCACAGCGTAGATGGTGTTTCAGTGAACTCGTTCGGTAGGCGTCCCAGTTTCAATCGTACAGATCAACCTAGGGACTTCCGTTGCCGTCATACAAGAGCACTTCGGCGACCTCCGTGGTTGACCACGTACGTGCTCTTCGATGTGCTACAACGGCAGTCAGTGCAAACAGAACTGCGTGCGAGTTGAGCTAAACAGATTACTAATAATGAGCACGTTCTCGCTGATTTCGTCGTCCTGTATAACGTACTGCGCCGGTGTCGGAAACCGAGTCATCCTCGAACGAATGCGTTGGCCCATTTGCCAGCAGGCTAACACCAACCAGCTGGTTGCCAGGTAAACCAGTCATTCACATTATGTGACATTGCGATCGTCATGTCTTCAAGGTGTTCAACCAGCCCCTTGCTCGACTGCAACCAGTACTGATTGAAAGCGGCTAACTATGACATCGTGCGTTCCCAAATTGCAATTAACACCGGTGTGTCGCCCATCCGTGAAAGGCACAGATGGATCGCTCGGTTAAACCACCAATTTGTTCATTTTGTAGCAGCAGACTCCTCCCCCTGATACCTGGCCCTTCATTTCCCACTGTGAAGTGACTGTTAATATTCCCTCCCTAGCCTCACTGTGTGATCTGTAAATGTTGGGCACATGTTAATTGTCGCCAGATATGTTTGGCACTGCGTTATTTCCTTTTTCGTATTAGATTATGAACTTTCGTTTACTGCACCTGGGTCACATGCACTTCAAACCTGACTATTGACTATGTCGCACTTATGCCAATTATTGTTGCATTATTATTGAAACGTTTGCTTCGCTGAGTGCGCTTTAACAGACGATAACTATGACAGCAAATCGTGGATGCTTCTTCATGACTATACTCCTGCTCATAACGCTCCGGGCACCCGGAGATTCCTGACCGAGAAAAAATTACTATAATAGAACAGCCCTCATACTCAATTGATATTGCTCTAAGCGACGCTGGTATTAAGGAGCATCGTGGAAGAATGCTTCCAGCAGTGCGTCGGAGCGTGGTAAAGAATGACGGAAACCCGCATTAAACCCGAGGGGATTGTGCTGAAGGTGAAGTTATACAGTTGGTTATCAAAATTTGCAATGAATTTTCATATTACCAGTCTCGTTACTTTTCAGACCCACCTCGTGTTTCACCAGCAGCATCACAATGTAGAGGAGGCAGAACCCGTGTGCAGCAATCACGACTAAACAACAACAAAACGGCACTGTAAAATTCAGCGCCGTGTAATTTCTGTTGCGCCAGCTTGAATTTTTAAAGTATGCTACATGGTTGCTCCGCCGAAAGCGTACACCGATGAGCTCACGTGCGTTCAATGTGACATTAATTGACTCGTCCATTAGGCCTTTGCGGAATGCTCACATCGGGGGGCACTGAAGTGTTTGCGAGCTACTCGGATTCTATCAGTAATATAAAATATCTATGCGCTGTTGTTGATGTTCATGCTGAATAAAGTCGCCGTTCCTCTTGAAGCACCGGTACACAAGTCGCGAACCATTGTGTACGAGGTAACAATATATTTTGACCACATGTCTACCTAACGCCGGTACATATAACTAGATAAATATTTTATTCCCTGCAGTGCGTGGCACGCTTGCGAAGGCTTGATCATGCTAATACAAACAGGTATGGTCGGCATTTTATAAAAATACAGCACGTTAACCAGTAACACACTGGATTTGTGTGTCTGCATATATTTAAGTGGGTGTTACTGGGCACATTGAGTGAAATTGTGAAGTGTGACCGAATTCGAGTGTGTTTGCTGTGTTCGCCATCGTATGAAGGGATCAGTGGAACTCTTCCAATTGGATGGCATTTGTGAAGTGGGAAAAATCCTCCGGAATGGGAAGAGGTAATGTTTGTTTGGTGGGGAGTCACATCCGCCACGTCGCGGTATTGTTAAACGGACCTTTGTGGTTTTTATAGGAAGAATACCCATCACTTCCTGGAACACTGCCTCCAAATTATTCGTTGGAATGGGATTAACCTGAACCACCCAGCTGGCACCACCTGGAGATTGTTCGGCTAGCCAGCAGAGGACGGTCGGTCTTGTGCGTATCTTTGATGCGTGCACGTAGCACGGCGTATCTGTAAGTCGGCGGAATACACAACACACATGAAGCCAAATGGGCTGGGTCGCTCTCCCCTGTGAATTGTTTTAGTTTACTCCGTAATCTTTTAATAGGGTTCCAGTATGGTGATCCCTTGCCTCTGTAGTTTTGTTCCTTCTATTACAAAACCGTATTTTGGTATTCATCACATCCGCATTTGCTCGTCTCGGGTTTGTTAGTTCTGGCACCGCTGTTATTTTGGTTTTTTGCGCTTTGTATCTATCTGCCGCGAATTGGTGCACTGTACTTGGGGACTACTCCCTGACTCAGTAAACATAATGGCGTCAGTAGTGTCCTAGTAGACCATACCGATGCTTTGCTGCCACGCGACCACCACCAGCTGCGTGTGGGCTAAGGATACTGCGAGGGTCGGCTGGTCCCTTACGCAGGCTCGAACCGGTAACCTCCGGATTACAAAGCAAGCGCGTGACCCTTTCGGTCACCGACCAGCACTACTTGGTAGCCACTGTATGTTGATGAGGAAGTAGCAAAATGGAGCAAATATATTTTTTGCATCCCTTTACTTCATGGCACGTTATCTTATGTACCACATTATCAGTCCCTTTGCCTTATCTCTCACCGGCTACTTCTCTCGTGTATATATTTTTCTACCCATTGTACGTTGTCTTTCTCCTACTCAATTTTTCTCATCCACATCCAATGTATTTCACTTTTTATGCTCAAACTGCTGCTTCTGACTTGATGGCCACACCTGATCCTGTTTTTCCTCTTTGTACTCATAGTGATAGACCATCCGCGTCCACTTGTATTCAGGATGCGTGGCTTGTTGGACTTCCCTCGTCGTCTCCAAGTTATTGTGAGGTGTACCCAGGAGCGGACACGGAACTGAAGCCGGTCATCTCTGAGAACAGCCGATCAGACTTAGACCGATCGTTCGGAGAGCATTGAGGCACTGTTTATACGTTGATTGTCCCTCCCCTCTCGGCTGTCACATCTCATATCATTTATGTACTGCTTTCTTTTTCCGTTCTTGTGCCCATTAATTCAAAGAAAAACTCGGCTTATCATCATTTCACTCCTGAGGCACCATATTAACCCCTATACGCCCTGAGTAGGCTTGCATGTTTCCCTGAACACAGTCGATCTCACAAGTGCATTTGCGGTCATCATAATGACTTCGCAAATCCAACCATCATTTTTGCGCTTACTCTACTGTTCTTTTCTTGCTCCACTACCCAACTACGTGTATGTTTTGGGTCACTGAGTTTGACCACTTCTGTGTAAATGCTGTACTTCCTAAAATAAGCGTGCCCTCATTAGAATATGCTATTGTTTCAACCCGTATTCATGGTAGTGCGTAGGAGATTTTTCTCTATGTTTACACTATTTCAAATCTTTTGTCTTAGGTTAATTGCTAATTTCTCTAGACCATTGGTCCTACGGCCACCTACAAAATGCAGCTTTAGGCCAAAGATGATGAACATAAGACAGGGTCGTTTAACGCGGTATGATGTCGCTATACTTTTTGACTCATGACAGCGGGGATCAGTTCTGTTGCACCTTAATGTAAGAATATATTACTATTTTATCTGCATCTTAAGAACTGTGATCGGTGCATCTATGTCTCATCCTTTTCGGCTCTTTACGAGAACCGTTTCATGTTTCATCGTGCTGATCGCAATTATCTATCGTTTCGATCATCAATACTCAGGTCTATTAGCTGTCATACTTTGGATCAAATTCCTTTTGATGGACAACAGCTGATGTACGTCGAGTCCCCCTATCCGAACTGCATTCTATCCATATGTCCCTATTAGCTGGGGCGCGTTCATCTTTGCTGCTTCTGTGCCTTTTCCCGTTAATTTTTTGTGTTTTTTAGAGCATGGAACTTGTCAGGCCGGAGATTGTCACTTATGTAAAGCATGGTCCATTTCGACAAGACTAGCCACGGGTTACAAATGGTTTCCTGTAGCCCAATGAGACCTATTCGTTCTGTTCATGACCACGGGTTGATCACACTGTCTTCTGATACTTTAATCTGTGGTTGGAACTGAAGTGGCACCAACCACAGCAACATCAATCACCATGTTTCTGCTGCTGTACTGTTAGGAGGGGGTTTTCATTCAAATGCTTGCTTGCGAACTTTGCTCGTTTTTCTCTCTAGAACTGCACACCATAGGGATGTTCCAGCCCACTAAGAGCCATGAACTTATCATTAACCTTCAGCCACATCCTGCGCAGACCGTCATGCAGTTTCAAAACTTCGACTTTTTTGACGATTACCTCAGAGTAGATGCGCGAGGGCGTGTTACTGCTGATACATTGCTTCTTTTTTTCCACTTATTTCTCTCACTCCACTCCCCGTTACTAATCTTGGTTGATGATGGCTGCAGTACTACTGAAGTTCTACCATCTGCAGCCAAATTTCCGCGGCCAGCCGTATATTCCTTGACTCTACGAGGGCTCACACTAACCAATGCAAATAATTCGCTTTCATGTATGATTAATTATGGACGAATTGGAATAGTTGGTCACCTGTTCAGTTTTGCCATAATGCGCGCCCGTGCATCCGAGCCAAATTGCGTCGCCATAGGTTACATTCATTTCGTTATTTTCGTAATCTGGGGTTCTCGCTTGCGGATAGTCTGAATGACCCAGTCCTCGTCTGGATTTCTTAGAACTCATGAAGAAAGGAAATGCGCTGAACGAATATTTGAAAGCAGAATTAATGGCGCATTCACACAGCTAAAACTATCTGCACCTGCGTCAGTAAGCATGATTCCGACATGATTAGTTCACTCCAATGCGCAACGTGGCAAAACCGCTCTGGTTAGCAGAAGCAGCAGTGTCGCGAGGATCTAGATACCGAGTTTTTTGTGCGATGGCAACCAGCGTACTGCTTTCCCACCCCCTGCGGTACCCCAGATTAGAGCATTTGCTTCTGGATGGACCAATGGAGAATTGCACTTCCAGCGAATGGTCTTGGTTGTCCAGTGTTTCCCAGCGCGCAACAGCCAATTTCCATCTCCTTCGTCTACGCTCCCAGTGATCGAAATGGTCCAGGTTCACTTCAATGTGAAGTGCGTGCCGTGTACATTGAGATTGCACGTCGCAATCCAGTCACTCAACCTCTAGTCCAAAAATGACCTTCTACTAATTCATTCGCCATCGTGGCATGGTTTGCCCGCCGTGATCCGGTAGCCAAAGGGGTAGAGGTTTCGGCTACTATTCCAAAGGACGCGGGTTGAGGCCTGCTATCTCCACCTGATGAGATGAAATGACATGGAAACGCGTGGTGGTTGTGCAGTGTTTTCGGGCGGGCAACACCCAGTTCCATCTGCTTCGACTACGGTCGCAGTGATCACAGTGACCAAGATACACTTCAATGCGAACTGCGTGCGGTCCACATTGAGATTGCGCGTCGCAATCCAGTCACGCAGCTGTCTAGTCCAAAAATGGCTTCTAATTATTCATTCACCGTTGTGGGATTCCAAACGGGTAGATGACAGCGCTCGCTATGTGAGTACTAGGTTGCAGTTTATCTCCTGTGTGAGTTTGCGTTTTCCAACACCGATCCAACTTACAGAAGCGCGTTTCACTTTCTTCCTCTAGATGCCAAAGCAGCCATGCCAATCTCCCGATAAATGTGTAACTAGAGCAGGAGAATTAGGTTAAACGAGGGAAAATATAACAAATAAATGCAGTAGTAAATGGCGAAAAATCGTAACACTGGACATGTTAAGCAAAACGTAATGCAACTAGATAAAGCAATTCATTAAGCGTGCACAAGATATGCAGTATGCCACTCATACATTACATCAGTGAGTGATCTTGGAGGACGACCAAACGAATTATACTACCAGCCTAAAGAGTTTTCTAGGACGAAGGATGGGGAAGAAGTATAGACAAACAAGCCAAACGCAGCAGGTAGGCGGTGCCCTACCTTTAAATGGCGAAATAAATGCGGTACCCTGAACAGTTTGTAAGTTACCAAAAACTGCAACTAACGTCCAACGTTCATTTTCGCTGAAATTGCGGTTTTGCTTTCCAAGCGAGCGACGAAAATAAGAAAGAAAAACTTGCAAAACAGTGCAGATAGATTTTAGGTAACCAGGCGCATATAATAAGCCGAACAATCTGGCTTTTCGTGCAAGTAATTGAAAGTAAAATAATCGACGCGTGTAACTTCGCGATCATGCTAAACGATCCATACGGGATCTTACGTAAACGCAGTATCTGTGAACTCGCTTCAATTAGTCCATAGTAAGATGAGCCCCTCGGGTATTCTTTTGACGATACTGACACAGCGAAATGCAATGAAGGAAAGCTCTACTTTTTCTATACCTTCAACTGGTCGAGAGTATAGTGCCGGCCAACATAAGGCTTGGCCACATGGAGACAGCAGGCCAACTCAGTATTCATTGGCTAATATGAGCTCATCTACCTGCAATTCATGTGACGGAGATTGCAAAAGCTATCACCGTTTTTATGTTCTAGATAACAAAAGGCTTCAGTCCGCTTTACTCTTGAGATACAATGCTTAGGCCAACAAAAGTAAGTAGATAAGAAGAGGAAAGATAGGAAGCAGCTTGTAATACCGATAATTCCGCTGAGGTCGTTAAGCAGGGGCCTTGACGACCATGGCTCTAAGACCTTAGGATTGAATTAGTTGGGAACATAGGTTTTCCTCGTATTTGAGTACACTAAGCGTCTACCATTATACCGTTTTGAGGCTCTCTTTTACTGTTTTATAGGTCTGACGTATGTGGGTCATTATCTTACAGTGGAGGTTCGGCTAACGTAAGCTCGAATGTATCGTGCGCTAGCGAACTTGTGGTTTTGATGGTTCTGGCTGTTCCACTGCGCCAGGCATAATGAGTGAAAGTTAAGGAGAGCAAGGTGTTAAAAAGTAGAATCTGGTTGTCCACCCACGATTGCGAATGAGTTTCACTAGCTCATAGTGGACATCGAAGCCAGGGAAAGGATAAGTTTCGTAGTGATGGCCAAGATAAGATGAAGTGATCAAAATATCCTGGATGTCTAGCTTTCCGACATGGCAGTGGCACTCTGACACATGGCAAGCTTTCAAGCCAGTCAAGAGAATATGAAATGGTAAAGATGTAAGAATGGCTGAAAAATGGGATCTGGTTTTTCATGCTGCCCATCAGCTAATGTTTCCAATAGCGATTGGCGAGCATTTAACTTAGCTAAAACCTAAGGGGAATGGGGCGAAGTTAGGGGAATGTGGGTTTAGAAAACTTGGATCTCAAAATATTCCTGCCAGTGGACCACTGACTATCCCGATAAGATACTTCGCCTATTATCGAGCAAATAAAACAAGCCGGATTTAAGCAAAGCAATTTAGGCATAATAAAGGGAGCAATAACAGCAATGAGGTCCTAGGGTTATGCAAGCTCCCTTGCGGTCTCGAGGCCTGCTATCCACCTGATAAGAGGAAATGGCATCGAAACGCGTCGCGGTTGTTCAGTGTTTTTTGCGGGCAACACCTAATTTCCATCTACTTCGGCTACGATCCCAGTGATCGCAATGGTCAAGGTTCACTTCAATGTGAAGTGTGTGCGGTCCATCTTTAGATTTCACGTCGCAATCCAATCACACTATGTGTAGTCCAAAAATGACGCTTCAAATATTGATTCACCATTGTGGCAAGTGTTAACTGCCTTGACCCGGTAGCCAAAGGGTTAGAGGTTTCAGCTACTATTCCAATCGACGCGGGTTCTAGGCCTTTTATCTCTACATGTTGCGATGAAATGACATCAAAACGCGTCCTTGTAGTGCAGTGTTTTCGGGCGGGCGACACTCAATTTCCATCAGCTTCGATTACGGTCGCAGTGACCAAGCTTCACTTCAATGTGAACTGCGTGCGGTCCACATTGTTATTGCGCATCGCAATCCAATCACACAACGTGTAGTCCAAAGATGATGCTCCAATTAATCATTCACCGTTGTGCCAATTTTAGCCAAGCGTTACCCGGTAGCCAAATGGGGATGTTTCAGCTTCTATAGCAATGGTCGCGGGTTCGAGGGCTGGTATCTTTACCTGGTAAGATGAAATGACATCGAAACGCGCCTTGGTTTCGTAGTGTTTTCGGTCCTGCAACCCAATTTCAAACTGCTTCGACTACGGTCCTAGTGCTCACTGTGACCAAGGTTCACTTCAACTGAAGTACGTGCGGTCCACATTGAGATTGCGCGTCGCAATCCAATCACGTAACGTGTAGTTCAAAAACGACTCTCCACATATTCATTATCCGTTGTGCCATGGATAGACCGCCGTGACGCGGTAGCCAAATGGGTAGACGTTTCGTTCACTATTCCAATGGTCGCGCCATCGATGCCTGCTATATTCACCTGATGAGAGAT